GCGTTCCGTTCAGATGATCAAAGAGATGATGTCTTCTTTGGTGTCTGAACAGCCAACCATGACAGCATCCGAGGCCTTCTACAGGGCTTTATGGGCATGCAACAATCGGGATCAATATCATGGCTACAGTCCTCTTCAGCATGCTTTCGGAAGGGCTCCCGATGAGCTAGGCAATTTGGGAGAAAGTGTTCTTCGGGATATTCCTATTCTGACTGAGCATGGTGTGTCAGCTGAGTTTGGTAGGGATGTCAAGGCCATGGTCATAGCAGAGCAAGCCTTTCTGAGAGAACAAGCAAAAGAACGACTTCGTCGCGCAGAGCTCTCAGGAAATCGGCCAATGACGAATGTGAGCCCAGGAGATCTGGTCTATGTATGGCGCAGAATGACTCCCCGCCAGGACGGACAGAAGCATTTTAAGGGAGGTCGGTTTGTGGGTCCCTACAGGGTTCTCGCGACTGAGTCTCGCCAGGCCGGACAGGAGCTCAGGGCAGGGCATATCGTGTGGCTCTATAGAGGGGGTCAACTTTTGAAAGCAACTCCCCAACAGCTCCGTCCAGCCACCGCCCGTGAAGAGGCATGGGCTGAGCTTCAAGGCACCAGTGACATACCATGGACCTTGTCAACAATGCTCCAGAAACACCCTCCCCATCAATATGAAGATTTAACTCAAGATGCCGGAAACATGCCCGCTGTGCGTAGTGATGCGGATGGTGATGAGAGCGAACCTCCTCCTAGGGTGATGCGAAGAATGCGAACCAAACAACAACACGCAGTAGGACCAGGGCCTCGAAGCAGAAGTCCAGTGGAGAGATCTATGAGAGATGAGGCCCAGGGTTCTCAAGCTAGCCAACCAAAACAGGAAGACATAGGTCCTCAAGACAACACCCGAAGCCGAAGCCCCTTGGTACGAGGACGTCCGATTAAGAAGCAGAATCCTCGCACAGCAGCTGACTTCTTGGAAGATTGTGGAGTTGTCTTCCCCGAGGAGGAGTCGAATTACTGGAGGACACCGGAATCAGCAGTGACGTTTTCGTTGGAACTTCCTCAGGTTGACACTAAAAGGGGAAAGGAATGGGTTCGCGATTTAGGTTGTTACTTTGTGAAACAGCTTAAGAGGAATGCCGTTGAAGTGTCGGAAAAACGACTGACGGTTGAAGAACGGGCAGCATTCAGAACCGCGAAACAGAAGGAGGTCAAAAACTTCATAATTGCCAAAGCCTTCCAGAAACTCCCGGAACACCTTAAACCAAGTAAGGAACAGATCCTGAAAATGAGGTGGTTGCTGACGTGGAAGCTTGATGACGACCCAAAGAACACCCATCCAGTGAAGAAGGATCACCTAGGAAATCCTATGAAGCCAAAAGCCCGAGCTGTGGTTTTAGGCTATATGGATCCCCAATACGAACACAGACCTACTAGCAGTCCAACAATGGCGCGTACTACTCGACAGCTGTTCTTACAACAATGTGCCAACCATGGCTTCCTGGTGGAAAAAGGAGACATTAGTGGAGCCTTCCTTCAAGGTGACAGCTTTGGCCCCGATCGACCCATGGTGTGCGAGCCTCTACCTGAGATCTGCGAGGCCTTAGGAGTGCCAAGTGGAAGCGCGATGCTCCTGACCAAGGCAGCATATGGTTTAGTGGAAGCGCCAATTCAGTGGTATTTATCAGTGTCTCGATTCTTGGAGTCCATCGGAGGAGAACGTCAGCTTTCAGATCCTACTTGTTGGGGTTTCTTCAGAGCTGATCGGACACCGATAGCCTGGGTTTGTGGTCATGTGGACGATTTCCTTTTTGGGGGAAAAGAGGGTGATCCGGAGTGGCAACGTATTCGGAGCATGATTCAAGAGCGATTTAAATGGGGTCAATGGGAAAGCAAGCGATTCACTCAGTGCGGGGTCTTGATTGAACAGGATTCAGAAGGGTTCCACCTGAGCCAACCTGAGTATCTAGAAGCTGTGAATGAGATCCATGTCAGCAGGACCCGTTGGCAACAAGCCGAGAGTCCTATTAACGCCGCTGAACTCCAGCAACTCAGGAGTGTGCTTGGTGCCTTATCATGGCATGCCAGTCAGGTGGCTCCTCAGTGGTGTGCTCCGGTGAGCTTACTGCTCTCCAAGATCCACACAGGCGTGGTGAATGACATCTTGGAGACAAATAAACTTCTTCGACGAGCAAAACTGGGACAACACCAAAAGATGCGCATCCATGGATACGGACAAGAAGCATCAATTCTGGCAGCATGGGTGGATGCAGCAGACGGACACAGGCCGGATGGAGGTTCAACAAAAGGGATACTCATTGGATGGGCCCCTCGAAGGTTGTTAGACGGAGCCTTGGTCCGCATTAGCCCTATGTTCTGGCAGTCCGCAAAAATCCAAAGAACATGCCGAAGCAGTGGCGCCGCAGAGACGCATGCAGCAGTGGATGCAGATGATGAGTTGTATGCAGTAAGGTTCCAGGTGTTTGAGTTTCAGGGTGGTCAAGTGCCGTTGTGGTCATGTGATGATGCTGTCCAAACTATTGAGGGCGTTCTCATTAGTGACAGTAGGAATCTGTATGATCGACTTCAGCAAACAGTGTTGACTCTGAAGGGAGCGGAAAAACGTACTGACATTGCTAGCTTGTGTCTGAAGGAAAGTATGGAGTCAACCGGTCTCATGCTTAGGTGGGTCAACGGTGATAGTCAGCTGGCTAATTCTTTAACGAAGGACAATGAACTTCACCAGTACTTTGAGTTTCTCCGTAGAGAAGGACAATGGCGAATTGTGTATGATCCCGAGTTACTCTCTGGTAGACGACGTAAGCAATTAGGCCTTAGTTCGTTGCAGACCAAAGTGGCAGATGAATCCCACGTCTCTTGAAATTTAAAATTTTGGGGGCGTGCAAGCTTGACAGCTTGAGCAGCTCGCAGACTCGTTCCGGTTGCAAGCACCTTTCGGTCCGAGCAGAGGAAAAAGGCAGGACTTCGCCGGTGCATGGGCTTGAGTGCGCTACCCCGTTTGCAAGGGTTTAGGGTTTAGGGTTTAGGGTTGGAGCTCCGATTTAATCCTAAAGCTCCAACCCTGCCACACCCCCCTCCCCCCAACAAAAAGAAAGCACAGAGGGGCAGTTCTCTAAGTCAGGGTCCCTTTCTGGACCTAGCTCATCAATCTTGAACACCCCGAACCCCAACCCTAAACCTTAAACCCCTACCCGAAACCCTACACCCCTAAACTCCAAACCCAAAACCTGAAACCCTACCCTAAACCTTAGACCCTAAACCCTAAACCTAAAACCCTAAACCCAGCAAGCCCTTTTGCAGATGCAGAGGCCCTGAGAAGACCCTCTCCGACCACATCCCCCGTGCGAGCATCCTCTTCATCAAGCCACCCGGGCCTGATGGCTTCGGCGGCTTTTGGGGCGTTTGGCGGGCTTTAGGGGTTTAGAGTTTAAGGTTTTAGGGTTTAAGGTTTAGGGCTTAGGGTTTAAGGTCTAGGGTTTAGGGTTCGGCGGCTTTTGTGGGGGGTTTGGGAAGTTTTAGGCGGATTTTAGGGTTTAGGGTTTAGAGTTTAAGCTTTGGGGTAAGGGGTTTAGGGCTTAAAGTTTAGGGTTTAGGGTTTAGGATTCGACGGCTGTTGGGGGTTGGAGGCGGGTTTTAGGGTTTACAGGGTTTAAGCTTTGGGGTCTGGGGTTCAGGGGTTTAAGTCTCTGAGGAGATTCAGGGTTTTTCGGTTTTTGGGTCTAGGGTTCAGGGGTTTGACTAAGGCTCTGACAAGGTTCAACGGTTTAGGGGTTTCGGGTTTGGGAAACCTTTTCAGGCTGTTGGGTTAGAGCGAGCCTGGCCAAGCTTTTGTACAAAATTCGGCAGGCGCCGTAAGCACGAAGCACAACACGATCTCGGTACAGTCCAGCCACCACGGCGTACAGGCCACTGCATGTTTTTGTCCATAGAATTGTTCGTTTTTGTGCAGCACATTGGCAATTTGGCTGTTGGCAAGCATCTGGTACAACCAGAACCCTATTCTAATTGTTGAGGCCCTTACATTATGCAATGTCTTGGTTTCAGGGCTGTCAATCGGCAACCCTCTAATAAAAACTCAACTAGGCACTGGGGCGCCTCGAGCACAGCCCTAGTTTCAAGCCAAGTCTTTTTCAGAAGCCCGCTATCGTGGCTGCTGTTCCATGGACTCCATATAGGCCCTATCTTGACCTTCTGGTACCCATGGTTCAGTAGCCAACTACCTGGCGCCAAGATTTCCTTTTTCCAGAACCTTTTGACTGAGCTTTGAAGTACCATACTTTTATGCTTTTTGGGGGACCTGTTCCTTAAAGGAACCATTATAAAATAGAAGTCTATACACATTTTGGGGGGACCTGTTCCTTAAAGGAACCGCTATAAAACACAAGTCTATACTTTTTTCTCCCTGGTTACTTCGAAACCCAGTGAACCCCGTGTAAAGACCAGCAGCAGTCCTTGCAGAACCCTCGAGCCCCTCGACAGCCCTACCCGTCCTCGACCCCTAGAGCCCTTGCAAAACAATCGCATGGACATCGTATAAAAAGGGGCCTTAATAATTAGAGTAGGGTTTTGGGGTCTCTCATACTATAATTGTAGTAAGGAACCCCTCAAAATAGTATAGGCAAGTGTTAAGGCCCCTACATTAGAGCCCCACATCGCTAAACTTGGTCGCTCTGCATAGGCAACAGGGCCTCTAGTGCTTCCTACTGATCTCCGAATCTAAGGTTGAACCCAGGGGCCCCTAACATGGGCCCTTAGGGGATTCTAGGGTCCCTTAAGGGTATATAGTAGGTTAGGGTCCCAGGGTTAAGGGCCCATACTAGGGGCCTATGGGTTCTACCTTAGACCGAAGATGACTGGCCGAGGATCGTCGACTTCGACACCATGGTGCGGAGGAGGGGCACTGATGCGCTTAATCTAGGGGCCTTAACACCCAGTAAACATCTAGGAGTATATATTTTATATGTTTCATCCAAAGACCTACTTGGAGGATCATTTGGGACTTAGTAAGTAAGGTTATAAGTTCCTTTTTGGGGGGTGGGGGGGGGGGGTCATAAGTATAGTTACCCTAATTATAACCCTACTTAGTAAGTCCCATGATCCTTTAAGTAGGGGCCTTCACAATGAGAACAGGGTTTTTTTGGGGGGCTCATTCTACTATAAGTATATTCAGGAACCCCATAGAATAGTATAGGTACTTATTTAGGCTCCTACATTAGGGGTTTATACTCGCAGGGCTGAGCTCTGAGAGTGTCGGGTTGAGTGATTGCGGGGCTTTGGGGTTTCAGGTTGTGGGTTTGGGTCTGCTGGGAGTTCGGATGTATAGGGCTGAACGCCGTGCTAGCTAGGTAGTATTATTAGGGGTACCCCTTGAAGGGTACCCCTTCTGAGCCCAACTTTTGGCTTTCTTAAAAGGGACCTTATTGAGAGGGTCTATATCCCCAAGGGTCCCCCTCATCCTAGCTCCCACTAGCTGCAAAGAATGATATTCTGGCATCATGCTTCTTCTTTCAATGCGCAGGGTGGCAGGGCCTCGTATTGATTTCGTGTGGGTACTGCTTACAGGGTTGTCCTGTGCCTTGTGACCCTCACCATAGTGTCGGGTTTATGAGTTTCGGGAACAAGGGGGGCATGAATTGGGGTGAACTGTGTTTGCATCTTCAAGTTCTTTCAAACTGAGTTTATGCAGAAGATCCAGCAGATTGCTGCAGGTTGCCTCCGGCTGACGTGCTACAGAAGCTGAATGGACGCCTGGCCTTGTTCGTGCACCGAGACCCAGTAAACATCTAGGAGTATATTTTTATATGTTTCATCCAAAGATCTACTTGGAGGATCATGGGACTTAGTAAGTAAGGTTATAAGTCCCTTAATTGGGGTTATAAGTATAGTTACCCTACTTACTAAGTCCCATGACCCTTTAAGTAGGAAGCACTAGAGGCCCTTCAAACTCTAAACCTCAAATGCGTGCTGCCCCTGCACCCCTCAGGCAGCTGCACAAAAATCCCGGCCTAAATCCTGAAGCCCCCAAAGCCGCGCATCGCCGGAACGGATGGCTGCGACATTCGGGCTTCGGGGCACCATTTGGGGGTTTCCAAATATAGGGGACCCCAAGATAGTACCCTAAACAATAGGATCCTGATTGTAAGGACCCCAAAATAAGGTACCCCTAATTTTCGGAAACTCCCATATTTCTAATGTGGGGACTATGACGGAACACTACTAGTGATGATTTAGACACCTACACTATCCAGCATAGAACTCTAGCCAGATAGGTGCCCCACTATACTATAATGTGTGAGCGTAGGCTTGATGCTCCGAGGACTTCGAAGGCTACAAGCACTCGTTTACTCTCTTCTCCAACAACCGGGCCCCAAAACAGTTTCAACTTTCTATCCCTGACAAACTACGTAAAGCCAAAACTTCTCCCATTGGCTAAGTAAGTTTAGGATGCCCCCTAAACCCTAAACCCTAAATCCTAAACCCTAAACCCCAAACCAAGCCCCATGGTTCAGAAGAGCCCGCGAGCGTCCTTGTCCGTGCACTTCGCCGGCGTCTTGTGGCCGGCGATCCTGCTAATCTTCCCTAAACCCTAAACCCTAAGCCCCAAATAACCTACCTTTTTATGGCTCCTTATTATAGTATCTTTATATAAGTCCTTTAAAACAGGTAGGCTCTTTGGGATTAAGGTAAACCCTAAGCCCTAAGCCCTAAACCCTAAACCCTAACTTTAAGCCCTAAACCCCAAACCCTAACCCAAAGCCCTAAACCCTGAACCCTAAACCCCGAACCCTCAACCCTAAACCCTAAGCCCTACACCCTGAACCCAAAGCCCTAAACCCTAAACCCTAAGCCCTAAACCTGAACCATGAATCCTGATCCCTAAACCTGAACCCTGCACCCTAAACCTGAACCCTGAACCCTAAACATGAACCCTGAACTCTAAACCCTGAACCTTAAACCCTGAAGCCTAAACCCTGAACCCTAAACCCACAACCCTAAACCCTTAACCCTGAACCCCAACACGAAGCTCCGAGGGACCCCAATAGCTGCAGCAAGCAGCGGACATGTCATCTTGGCAACTTGGCACTCGGAAAATACTCTCGGAGTCTGGAGTCACCGAGGCACCATAAAGCGAGCAGCATGATCTTACCATAACACGTACTTATATATATATATATATACACATACATCTGTATACATACATACATATATTTATACATATATATNNATATATATATATACAAATACACACACTAGATGTTGGGATGGAAAGCCGAAGCAGTGTTACGGGTTTCAGGGTCCTAAACTCTACAAAGCCTTAGCCTAAACCCTAAACCGTCAACCCAAT